GCTTCGTGGCCGCTCTGGGAGCCTTGGGGGCCCCACGCCAGGCCGGAGACGGGTGGGCCGCAGTCGCGGTGCGCGCATGCGTGCTGCGGCCATGAGTGCCAGCTCGGAGCCTCAATGTAAACCAGCGGCTTCTTGGGAGGACGGGACCCGAGGTCTTGTTAAGGCCATTGTGCACTTGGTGTATTTGAGAAACCTAGAAAGTTGTATGAATCACTGTTGCTTTTGAAATAGAAAAGTCTTACTTGGCGTTAGATGGTAAAATTTTGTGGTCATTTGTCAGTTACTGCTAAGGAAAGTTGACATCCTGGGATTACTGGCCCTCATAAGTCAGTTACATGTGCAGTGAAACCTGTGAGATCGGGAACTTGTAGAGACTGCCTTGTTTCTCGGGTCTCGCAGGTTTTTGGCCTTTCACAGGTGCAGTTTTACCACTTTTCTGTTGCTTCTTTTAGTGTAAAATATTGGAGTTTCCCTTCTCTGACAGGTTTCTGCCTTACACAGGTTCTGGCTTTTGCAGGTTTTACTGTATAAATGTAGACAGATCTGAGCTCAGTAGGCTCTGAAGTACTGTGACCTTAAAATATGTTGTAGGGAATTCATTACTACCTTATTTTGTTTAATTCTCTTCAGACATTAACGTTTATTTGCACGTTTTTTTGAAAACTTAAGAACTGTAGTTTGAATTTCAGAGACTACTTCATACAACAAAAGAAGTAAAAAGTGGACATCTGGGAGAAAAGTAGTTGGCAGGTGGCTAGGAAGGCAAAGGATGCGAGAGGTGAAAGGTGCAATTAGAAGTGATCTGGTCAAAGTCTGTCTTTAGAAGACAGACACTGGTATTTGGCTATGTTTTCATTATCCTGAGCCTGTCCTTTCATACAGGGGTACTGTTGATTTTTGCTGAATGATTCAAGCAAGAAAAATTGTGGTTATGATTTATTAAAAACACTATGAAAATGAACTGACAGACCTAATGGAAATTATTCCATTGGAATGTCAATTTTAAACTCTAACGTTGGCAAATAAACATAATTAATGGTTGATTATATCCTAAAAGAAGAACAAGGACAGTGTAGGGTCAAGAATCTAGGACTAGGCCTTAGAAACCTTAGATTTAAACCCAAATCTGCCTTTAGGGAGGTCATTTAACCTTTCTGAGTCTGTGTGTTTTTGTCTGTTAAATGAGGGAGGTGTACTAAACAGATGCCTTGGGTTTCGTGTTTGCACCCCCCCCCCCCTTTCAAATGTGGTTTATATGGATCACAAGAGCTTACAGCTCTTTGGAAGCTTTTTGGTTAAGCCGTATGATGATGGTTTAGCTTTCCATGTGCTTGTTCAGTTTTCCTTCCATAATCTTCAGATTTATGTGAAGGATTGTGCAAGTATGCCCTCTTTGAGGACAGCTCTAGGTTATTTGAGAGGTCTCTCTCTTTCTCTGTGTTTTCTCCCCATCTCTTTTTTCATTCTGAAACCTGGGACATAGATCCTAGAGGCAGAGAAGTTTTAGGAAGCCCTTAAATTTTTAACTGTCTCAAAAAATAATTAAGGCAAGCTTCTTTTGAAGGTGGTAGGGTAGGATTTTGGATAAAAAGGTGAAGGTAAAAGACATTTTTAGTCATCTTTCATTGATGTGAATTTTAGGATTAGAGTTGATTTGGGCCTATGTAAGAAAACAGACAGAAGTGTGCATACTTACTTACGTATTAAAGATTATTGACTTTTGCTATAAACACAATTTGCCTTTAGCTGTGTTGTATAGTGACAGACTAAATAAGGAGTCAGTGTTTTTTAAATAAGCATGAGATTCTTAAGGCACAGGTTATTAGATAGGTATTGCCATCCTTACAAATTAGGAAGTTAGGTTTAGTAAGTGCAAACGGTCCAAGGTCATATCACTGATAAGTGACTAAAGGATTCTGAGTCAGAGCCTCCTTCCTCACTTCAAAACCTTTTCCAGCATCAGTGCTGATTTGTGTATTCCAAAGATGGAGGTTTCTAAGGGCCCCATCACTCAGCTAAACCTATTAATAACAACAACCACCAAAAACCAAACTCACTGCTGTTGAGTCTATTTGACTCATAGCGACCCCTTCTTGGGTTTCCAAGGCAGTATCTCTACGGAAGTAGATTACCCAGTCTTCTTTCTTTCGAGGAGTAGCTGGTGAGGAGTAGCTGGTGCGGTTGAACCTCCAGCCTTTTGGTTAGCAGTCACATGCCTTAGGCACAATGCCACCAGAGCTCTTTTTAATAAGAACAGCAATGTTAAAAAACAAAAACAAAAACATGGAGTGCTTACCTTGTGCAGGGTTAAGTGCTTTTAGAGTAATAATGTATTACTTTGTATCTACTTCCATTGTCTCCATTTTTCCAGAGAAAATTGGAGGTCACAGAGATAAGGTAACTACAACATGGTTGTCAAGCTTCAAGTTACAGCCTGGAAATCAAAGTTTTTCAGATTCCAGACTGATTTCTTGGCTACACAGGCTTTCACGAAGCAGGTTCAGGCTTCAGCTCATTGTGATTTAACCCTGATTAGTGGGTTTTTTTGTACCATGCTGGTCTTGGAGCCTGGGCTATGTATAGAGGCTAATGCCCTTTGACTGCACCTTCAGAAGAAGGAGGGATAGAGTCATGGTCAGCAAAGGGGCAAGCCTCCTGGGACTGGCTGTGAACAGACAAAACAGGTTGTCCTAGTGCAGGGATTTTCTGTCAAGCCTGATTAAGGAAGCCCTCCCTTTTTACATATCATTATGGGGAACAGACCCAGATAACAAAATAAGGGGAAATGGAAATTTTCCTGGATCTTCCAGAGTTTCTTAGAGGAACTCTGTAGTTCCTGAATCAGAATCTTTTGCTTAGATTGTCAAAAGAGCCCATTGGGCCTCTTCCTCCTATCTATTTTTGAGGGTGAGGCTCACACTGCTTTGTCCCAGTGCTGCATTCAGCTAGCCACCTAGTCCCTAAAACTAAGCCAGAGTAGCCAAACTGTCTCAAATGGGCAGTTGACCGACCATACTGGTGAGGCTTTCGCTGTCTTCTGTGGTCATTTCCCTCAGGACTATTGGGAAATTCTTTCATTATAGTGTCTGAAATATCTCCTGTCAATCCTGTTTTTCTTCCCTGGGAGTTTTCTGAACAAGTCTAATTATTCTACCCAACAGCTCTCCAAATATTTGAGAACAGTAATCATGTCCTCCCAGAGACTTCTCTTATCTAGGCTAAACAACCTCTAATCTCTCTTCCTGGAGAAGATTTTTGTTTTGAAGTCTCTTTCTCTCTTTCAAATGCCCTCATCTAAAGTGTATTACTCAGAATACATTTCAAATTTAGTTTCCAGTAAACATGGATCATATTAGTCTGTGGCAGATGCTATAGTTTTGTTAAATGTCATCAAATGGTGTAAATTATTTTTTTCTCCAGCTCAACATGCTTCTAACTCACAGAGCTTTTAATAAAAAAAAAATTTTCTATCTTGTACTCTTCTATTCCAGTACAGAGAAAGCTATATTTTGTTTTGTTAGATTTAACAGCTATGTAGAGATTGTTTTGGAATCTAAACATTTATTATGGAAAGTAAATGTTTTGGCAGTCCTGTGTTATCTCCAACTTTAATGTCTTTGTTTTCATCCAAGTAATTAGGGAAAACAGTTGAGTAATACAAGGACATTGTCACTAAAAGCTGTACTCACCTTGTTCACAAAGATACAAAGCCTATCACAAGTCTTATTATTGTCCAGATATATTATATCTCTAGCATTCCATTGACTGGCCAGTTCCTATGCCGGGTTACAGCAATCACTCCATTATTTTTCTAAGCATTCTGAAACAATCTCTGATTCTAAATCTGTCCAGGTGGTTCTTCCAGAGTTAACCAACGTTTGCTTCATTGCTGGTCCTCTCCTGCCCCAGTCTCATTATGTCATGGTTATGTGCAGTTTTTCCTGCTTCTCTTTCTAATCTCACATAAATCTGAGATTATTAGGGAATTCTTTGTGTATAAACTGAAACCTGTTGCCATTGAGTCAATTTCAACTCATAGTGACCCTAGAGGACTGAGTAGAACTGCCCTGGAGGGTTTCCAAGGCTGAAAAGATGAAACAGATTGCCTCATCTTTCTCCCACTGAGTAGCTTCTTCATAAATTAAAAAACAAAACAAAACACATGAAAGGGAGGAAAAAAAAATCTAAATCAGATGTAAATAGTGCTTTAAAGTCTGTGTGTCAATTACTGATTTGTAACTTATTTTCTGAGTAATTATGGATTCACCTAGACTTTTTAGTCTTTATCTCTAAATGTGTAAAACAGGAGTACCTGCCCATGACTTTATATGTGTTATTAGTAGAAACTTACACTTTTCATTTTCTTTCAATCTTTTGTCCTACTGATTCAAGAAAATTGGTGTTTTTTTTTTTTTTTTCCCCACTTCTCCCAGAAATATGTGTTCAACTGTAAAGTGTCATTAAAGTAGAATCACAGAATTTTATGGTGGGAACACAGTTGGGTGTTAATATTTATATAGTGTAGTATTTACTAGGAGCTCTGGTAGCATAGTGCCTAGGGCACTTGACTGCTAACCAGAAGGCTGGCAGTTCAAACCCACTAGCCACTCCTGGGAAGGAAGGTTGGGCAATCTACTTCCATAGTGATAACCGGAGGGGTCGTTATGAGTCAGGTCTGACTAGACATAACGACAACAACAGTATTTACTTAGGAGTTTATATTTGGTTGTTGTTGTTGTTGTTGTGTGCCATCGAGTCAGCCCTGACTCATAGTGACCCCTCCTTGGGTTTCCGAGGCAGTATCACTACGGAAGTAGGATTGCCCAACCTTCCTTCCGAGGAGTGGCTGGTGGGTTTGAACCGCCAGCCTTCTGGTTAGCAGGCAAGTGTCTTAGCCACTATGCTACCAGAGCTCCTTTATATTTGGTAGCTGGTTGGAATGATTATGTGAGGGAGGGTTGAAAGGTTGATTACAGTATTATTTGTTTTCCTTTTAAAGGCACAGTGAGCAGAATGAACAACTCACAGGACCAGAGTGGCTGCTCCAGTAATCGAGAGCCCCTTTTGAGGTGCTGTGATGCACGAAGGGACTTGGAATTGGCTATTGGTGGTGTTCTCCGGGCTGAACAGCAAATTAAAGATAACCTTCAAGAGGTGTGATGTATGCTTTTCCCTTCCCTTGTCCTGACTCATCACAGGGCTGAGGAGAGCATGGCCAAGGGCATGGCTTCTGACTGTCAACCAAATTCACTCCATGCTTTGCATGGTATTTGTAATCCTAGTCAGCTGCTTTGATATAGTGATGCTTTTGATCCCAAAGAGAAATAAGAAATGTTATTAGAGTATGGAAAACTTCATACCATTCTGGAGACTTCAATTCAGCATGCATTTTATCTTTGTGTTCCCTGTGCCATCAATAAAAAATAACTAAGCCATTCAGTGAGTAGTGTGCTGCTCAGCTCTTTCCTTTTGTTGCCTACAGGGAAGCACTTCAGAAGTCCTCCACCATCTTTTCATTTGTTGTTACCATAGTTTTAGCAGCATGGTTCTGTAAATGACTTAGTTTATAAGCGCAAGCCAGAATGAAATCTGTTAATTGCATTATCCTAATAGTAATCTGTTACTCGGAGTCTCTGGATGGAGCACATGGCTAAACGCTTGACTACTAGCTGAAAGGTTGGCAGTTTGAACCCACCCAGCGGCGCCTTGGAAGGCAGGCCTGGTGATCTACTTCCAGAAGGTCACAACCTTGAACACCCAATGGAACAGTTCTACTTTGCACACATGGGCTCACCAGGAGTCAGAATCTACTTGACAGCAACTAACATCAGTAAAAACCTGTTCATGAATGGATAGCTCATTCGATGGGGTGGGAAAAGAGATAAGTGCTAGCTGTTAAATATTAGCTTTTAAAGTATAACTAACATTATCTGTCCTAGTAAGCTTGCAAAACCATAGGCTTTAAAATTAAATGGACCACTGAGGGGGATCAGTGTTTCTTGATACCTTCTTTTATTTGTTCTTTTTGGATACCCAAAATAAACCTCCTTTTAAAAGGTGGGGTATTAAAGGAGAACTTTAGAGCTTAGGTATGCCTGTATGACTAGCATTCTTTTCATGTTTTTAAATTGTGGTTTGGGTGAGCTGATGGAGAAAATTTGTTTTCCTTTCAACAGTTCATACACATTTTGTTTCATGACATTGATTGCAATCCCCATAATGTAACAGCTATCTTCCCACTTCTTGTCGGTGGTTACCTTTTCTCTGTGTCCTCCTTTCCTGTGCATTTCTGCCCTCTGAGCTTTCTTCCTATGCAAATGCTGCCATTCAGATCTCCCATGGTTGATTATAAGGAGTATACCTACTTGGTGTAAATGTTTACCTTGTAGGCCTGTCTGTTTGGTTGGAAGCCATGGGAATGAGTTCAGTTCTAGGCCCAAAGGGTGACTAGGGGCCATAGTCTCGGGGTTTCACCAGTCTCTACCAGATCAGTAAACCTGGTCTTTTTTATGATTTTGAGTTTTGTTCCTTATTTTTCTCCTCTTCTACTTAGGATCTCCTATTCTGATCCCTTTCTGAATGGTTGACAGTGGTAGCTGAGCACCATCTTACTCTTCTGGTCTTAGGGTCATGGAAGCTGAGGTTAGCACGGTCCACTAGTCCCTTGGACTAATTGTTTCCATGTGTCTTTGATTGTCTTCATTCTTTGTTTCGGAAGAGGAGAGACCAGTTGTTACATCTTGGATGGCTACTTGCAAGCTTTTAAGACCCCGGTCACTATTTACCAAAGTGGCGTGTTTGTGTAGTATGTTTTGCCAGTTGAGCTTGATGTCCCCCATGACTGTGGTTCTGAGCCTATGGGCCCAGCAACCCACTCCTTCAAGGTGCATGGCTGTGGCTCAGAATTTAGGATTTTGCCCCCGTTATAGCTCTGTCATTATGGACATTCTTAAGTCACATACAAATATGTATAAAGAAATAACATCTGCCAAATTTATATATGGTCATGGGTCTATTCCCTTTTACCTACCTATACCTGATCATTTTGCCTGTGTACCTTGTATCCACTCGTAGATTAATATTTGTTATTACTGATAATGCAGTATTGTGTATGTAAAAGTGTTTACTTTTGTTATCTGTATCTCTTGTGCACCTCTCCATGTTTTTCTTTTCCTTAGTATTATTGTGCTGGTCACTTGCTTTTAGTATATTGCCTTTCCTTCCACCCAAATCAGTACTTGTCACCGACCTATTTAATAATTCTTCTTTCTTCCCATTCCTGCTAACCAACAAAGAAAGTGTCCTTCCATGTGTAAACCTTTCTTTGACTTTACAATAGTGAAGTCATACAATATTTGTCCTTCTATAATTGACTTAATTCACTCAGCATAATGTCCTCCAAGTTCATCTATGTTATAAGGTGTTGCATGGATTCTTCATTATTCTTTAGCGGTATGTAGTATTCCATTGTGTGTATGTACTGTAGTTTGGTTATCCATTCATCTGCTAATGGGCAGTTAGGTTGTTTCCATCTCTTTGCTATTGTGAATAGTGCTGCAGTAAACATGGGTGTGCATATAGCTATTCGTGTCCTGGTTCTCACTTCTTAAGGATATATACCTAGTAATGGGATTGCTGGATCAAATAGTATTTCTATTTCCAATTTTTTAAGGAAGCACCATACTGTTTTCCACAGTGATTGTATCATTTTACAGTCCCACCAGCAGTGCATGAGGGTCTGTGGCTAAGATTCTTAAACTGGGGTCCTTGGAGTTTTGGTAGGAGCATGGATGGGCTTTGGGCACTAAACTTTAAAATTATAGGTAGTGTTTTTAGTATATGCATTCTTCTAGGGAGGTGTTCCATAGATGTCATTAAGGTATGGAAAGGATCTGTGATCCTTAAAAGTTTAAAACCTCACTGTTCCATGGGGAAATACCATTATTTAGGCTTATAACAGTAGAGAAGCTAACATGTATGTTTCTTAGGTCAAAGCTCAGATTCACAGCTGCATAAGCCGTCATCTGGAATGCCTTCGAAGCAGAGAGGTGTGGCTGTATGAACAGGTTGACCTCATTTATCAGCTTAAAGAGGAGACACTGCAACAGCAAGCCCAGCAGCTCTACTGGGTAAGGGGGATGATGCCAGGCTTTAGTTGGTTTGAACTGGTTTCTGGATTCTAGAGAATGTCTTCCTTGTAATGAAATATTTATGTATAAATCAACAGAAGTTTAATTTCAGTGGGCTAGATGATTTCCTTTCATTTCTTTTTTTTTTTAAACAGTTATTGGGCCAGTTCAATTGTCTTATTCATCAACTGGAGTGCTCCCAAAACAAAGATCTAGCCAATCAAGTCTCTGTGTGCCTGGAGAGGTAAAGACACTTTTTGTATTTTAACTTTTGGCTCCTTGACTTTGGTATATTTTTGAAAAAAACATTGTATTCAAACTCATTTACATGTGTTGATTTAACTTGAATTCTGTGTTACTGTGTTAAATCCGGCTTTATGTGTTTACTGTTATACCTGCTGATACAGACCACTGAAACAACAGTAAGTAGCCAAGGTTTGTTTGTTTTTCCAAGATTGGGCAGTTTGACTCTCAAACCAGAAGATTCAACTGTCCTGCTCTTTGAAGCAGACACAACTGCGCTGCGCCAGACCATCACCACATTTGGGTCCCTCAAGACCATGGTGAGTAATGTTGATCTCAGATGGTTCATAGTGTGTTTCTCAGGTCTGTGGCATCTAATAGGTGGTCATGAAAAAGAAAAATCACATTTTTACTCTGAATAGTGACTTTCTTGAGAATTGGTTAAGCTTGCCACATTTCATGTTCTGAGTAAGTCTATAGTTAGAGAATTATTTGGATAGTTCCTTCAATGTGGTATTATTGATATCTCTGGAATTCTTCTATCTATAAATATTTTGGACATACTTCTTGTTCAGTTTGTGGCTTGAATGATTTTTATTAAGAGCCAAAAATAGTTTAGTCTTGTTCAAAATAGTAATATTCTACTACCAGTTCTGGTGAAGAGTTCTTACAGAGGGATAGTTACTTAGAGGTGGCTAGAGTTCTGAGATTTGATAACCATTTTGTAGGTTATTGGATTTAGTGTGAATATTTATTCTAGTGAAGTGGTGATGCTTAGCTCAATGCTTTTGAAATTTAGGAATTAAACTCTTACTTTTTGATATGAAAGTATAGCATAAACTTGATTAAATTGCCTTAATTTTGTAGCAAATTCCTGAGCACCTGATGGCTCATGCTAATTCATCAAATACTGGACCCTTCTTGGAGAAGAGAGGTTATATACCAGTGGCAGAGCAGGTAAAACAGGTTTGTATCTGTAACTGAGTCACTATTTAGGTTATATTTCTTTTGGGGTTTGATTAAACGAGTACCCCCCAACCCCCATCCCCTTTTTATTTCTTGATAGCATCTATTTATAAAAAGCCACTAGTGGTTAAAGCATTCAGCTGCTAACCAAAAGGTTGGCAGCTTGAACCCATCAGCCACTCTGGGAGTGGGAGAAAGATGGGGCAGTCTGCTTCTGTAAAGATGTACAGCCTTGGAAAAACCTATGGGACAGTTCTACTCTGTCCTATAGGGTCACTATGACTCAGAATTGACTTGATGGCAGTAGGTTTTTTTTTTTTGAAGGTATATATTAAGGGAGACTTTTAAAGGCAGTGTGAATATATATAAACTCCTAGACTTTCAGAATTGAGAACCCTAGAGATAAGCTACTCCTTGTTTTGTAATTGTGAAAATGACACTTGCTCAGGGTTAATGTGAAGCCAATATTAGAGAGCTTGGGTTTCCTGCTTTTCTGGTGAACTTTCTACTGCAACTGACATTGCCCCATTAATAAAGTATTATGTAATTAGCAGAAGTCATCATCCAGCACCACAGCTGTACCTCTCAGTGAATGGCTGCTTGGAAGCAAACCTGCCAGTGGTCGTCAGGCTCTGTATGTACCTAGCACCAACCCTCAGGACTGGCTCACCCAAAAGCAGACCTTGGAGAATAGTCAGGTATGTTTCTGTCTTTATTATTTCTGAGAGAAATGTAATAGTAGATGCAGTTAGTAACTATCCTGACACTAACTAAACTCGGTGCTGTTGAGTTGGATCTGACTCATGGTGACCTCTTCTTGGGTTTCCAAGGTGGTATCTCTATAGAAGTAGATTGCCCAGTCTTCCTTCTGAGGAGTGGCTGGTGGGTTTGAACTGCCAGCCTTCTGGTTAGCAGTCAAATGCCTTAGGCACATGTAGTATATGTCTTTGTTTATAGTTCTAGCCTGGAAACATTTTATAATTGTTTACTGTAATACTGACACCTCTTCACTATAAAAACTAGAAAATATTTACAAAAGAAATACAAAACCATTATCTTACCATGCACAGACAACCACTGTAACATTTTTGTTAATAAACTTCATTTTTCCATGCATACATATACTTGAAAAAAAATCAGTATGTAAATCCTATCTTTATAAGCAGATTTTTTCACTTATATATCAATAATATATTTCTCTGCTATTGAATTTCTTCTACAATGTTTTTAATACTATATTTTATTGATTGGCTATCATGTAATTTCTAGTATTTCTGGATATAAATAAGGTTCTCTAAGTGCCTAGTAGCTAGTTATTTGTGCATGTTATTGATTAGTTCCCTAGGCAGAAATTCCCAGAAATTGCTAAATTACAATTATATGTACCCTTTTAAAAAATTTTATACATATTATCAATTACGTTTTCCATACGTTGATACCAGTTTGTTTTTACCAGTAAAGTATTGAGGGTACCTGCTTCCCTGAACCCTCTCTCTTAGTGGTATCATTTACAATTTTTTTTTTTGCTAGTTTCTTTGATTACTAACGAAAGTATTTTCATGTTGATTAGCCTTCTTTGATTAATTGTGTGATCATACTCACTTTTATTTGTAAAAGCTTACCATGTTAGAGATACTACCCAGTTTTCTATCAAATATGCTATGGATATTTTTGCCAGTCTTGCCTTTTGGCTTTTTGGTATCCTTAAATTTAGAAACAATGACTAGTACAGTAAATATGAAAACAAAGCTCTTTCATGTTGAATCCCCAAAGCATTTGTAATTGTTCTGGTGAACTAATATAATACTGTGTGTGTGCTTCCTGTGTAGACTTCTCCCAGAGCCTGCAATTTCTTCAGTAATGTCTGGGGCAACCTAAAGGGCTTGGAAAACTGGCTTCTGAAGAGTCAGCAACAAGAAGTTCCTGAAAACCCAAATAATAAAAAGTGTAACAGCTGTTCTTCTACCAGTTCTTTCTCCATTGAAGTTGAAAAGGCTGGAGATCTGGAGCTTCCTGATCAAGATGAGGTGCACCTTTCCGATTGGCTGCTGACTCCCCAGGAACCCCATAAACTGGAGAAATCTGATAATGGCAGTTTTGAAACCAGTGAGAAGTTTAAGCTCTTGTTCCATGTTTTCCAGGAGCCCTATAATGTGAGTGATTGGCTTCTCAAGCCTGATTCCTGTACCAATTGTCAGGGCAATCAGCCCAAAGGTGTGGAGATTGAAAATCTGGGCAATCTGAAATGCCTCAATGACCACTTGGAGGCGAAGAAACCATTGTCCACCCCTAGCATGGTTACCATGGATTGGCTTGTCCAGAACCATCAAGAACCATATAAAGTAGAGGAGGTATGCAGAGCCAATGAGCCCTGCACAAGCTTTTCAGAGTGTGTGTGTGATGAAAATTGTGAGAGGGAAGCTCTGTGTACGTGGCTTCTAAAGAAAGAAGGAAAGGATAAAAATGGGATGCCTGTGGATCCAAAACCTGAGTTTGAGAAGCTTAAAGATTCCCTGAATATGTGGCTCTGTCCTTCCAGAAAAGAGGCAACAGAACAAGCTAAGGCACCAAATGGCATGGCTCCTTCGAGAATTGATGATTCCTTTCAAGTCATAAGGAACAGTGCCTTGTCAGGGTGGCTTATCAGACCATCACACAAAGAAGGAAGTCCCAAGGAAGTGCCTAGTACTGAGGACAGAGCTGGCAAACAAAAGCTTATGAGCCCCATGGCCACATCTTGGTGTCCCTTTAACCCAGCTGACTGGGTCTTGCCAGGAAAGAACACAGGAAACCTCAGCCAGGTGTCCTCTGGAGAAGACAAGTGGCTACTTCGAAAGAAGGCCCAGGTGAGCACAGATACCAAAATAGCAATTAGAAATACTTTCAGATTCTTGCACTCTCAATCCCAGACTAAATGCTAAATTTGGCTAAGGTATTAATCTTGGTGCCGTGTTAACAACAGAATGGAGGGCAGAGCTAACATTTACCAAAACAAAATAAAACCCTGCCAAAACCCAAACCCACTGCCATCAAGTCAATTCCAATTCATAGCAACCCTTTAGGACAGAGTAGAACTGTCCCAAGGCTATAAATTGTTAGGGGAGCAGACTGCTTTATCTTTCTCCAGCAGAGTGGCTGGTGGGTTCAAACTGCCAACCTTTTGGTTAGCAGCCGAATGCATTAACCAGTACACCACCAAAGCACCTTACCATTTACCGGTGTAGTTAATTTATGCTTATTCAGATTGCAATTTTTATATATTTTCTAGGCCCCTACTCCCCATCCTGGCAGGAAAAGAAAAAAAATAAAAACTTGCCTGTTTTGCTGTTTATGGGAGAGATTTGGGCTGGAAGAAATAATTGTCACCTTTGCTTTTAGTTATTGGAATGGCCAACATACTTTATTAGACACTATTTGGAAGATGAGTTAAGTTGGTCTCATGCCTCCCAGTTAGCATGTATGAATATCCTTTTTGTCTAATTGCAGGAAGTATTACTGAATTCACCCATACAAGAGGAACATAACTTTCCCCCAGACTGTTACGGTCTCCCAGCAGTTTGTGATCTTTTTGCCTGTATGCAGCTTAAAGTTGATAAAGAAAAGTGGTTGTATCGAACTCCACTACAGGTGGGTATGAGTTACCAGTGTGACTATACTGATTTTAGCTGCTGCTCACAAAGTAAATATTATATCTTACTATGCCCATTGAACCTATTCCTGTTGATGTTATGTATATTAGGCAAAGGAGGGTAAAAGAGAAGATCATAAGAGTTTCATGTATAAGCATACCTTGAGAGTAGTGCAAGTCTGATTTTAGACTATCACAGTAAAGTGAATAACATAATAAAGCAAGTCATACAAATTTTTTGGTTTCCCCGTGCATATAAAAGTTATGTCTGCACTATACTGTAGTCTATTTAAAGTATTCAATAGCTTTATGAAAAAGTCTGAAATAGTGAGATTTACCAAAATAAGATAGAGACATGAAATGAGCATATACTGTTGGAAAAATGGTGCTATATACTTGCTTGATATACAGAGTTGCCACAAACTTTCAATTTGTGAAAAACAAAGTACCTGTGGAGCACAATAAAGCAAAGCACAGCACTATAAAATGAGGTATGCATGTATTTCAACTTTGCTTTATAAAAAATCTAGGACATACTCAAAAATAACCTCTTTCAAGATGATGTAGCTGTCTAGAAAGTTTTCAGAGCCTGTGTAGATTCTAGTATATTAAGAAATGAGTCAAAGCTTCAAAGTGGGAAAAATTGCTTTTATACTGTAGTGACTTTCCCTGTGGGGTTCTTTTTTACAGATGTGAAAAATGGAATACTAGAGTGAAGCCCCTTTTCTGCAGATTATCGCATATCCACGAACTGAGTGACTGCGCCTTGCCAAATCATTGTTTCTGAATCTGATCAGTCAGCTTAGTTCCTTTCCTGTCTTTGAACTAGTGAAGAGAAACAAGTCATCAAATTATGTTACCATGTAATAGAAAAAGGCTGCTAAATTGATGCTGAGGAGATTTCACTTCCTTCTTACAGAAGTATTACTTAATTCAGCCCTACATTAGAAGTACAGCATCTTGGTGGATAGGTCTTTTTCAAGCCTCCCTGGCTCCTTAGAGTTACTAGACATATATTAAAGCACTGTAGTTTTAAAAATGAATTATTTGTGTAATCACAGTGTTGTTGATGTGTTATATAGTAAACTTTCTTAGCCTCTTGATGACCCTTTGTTTAGATGTTCACCTTGCTGTGGGTTTTTCTCCATTAGTGATCTCAAATACTTACTGTTAAATTAATATATATATATATATATATATATATATATATTTCACATAAGTAATTTACCTTGCCAATAATAGTGTTTTTTTCTTACCAAAATTATGTATTAAATCTTGGCAATTTCTGACATGAATTATGAAGTATATTTAGCTTGTTAATTCTGTATTTCTTCTTTTGAAAGAGGTTCAACTACTGCAAATTCTTTATTGATCTCTTAATGTTATTAAAGTATCCAGTGAGCTCTTTTAGAGGGGCTCTGCATTGTTTCAACAACACATTCAGTATAGTCCGAGCCTCTTATAAATATTTTACAGACCTATAGGTAAAAGAGCCCCAGTGCTAACTAATCGAAGAGCAAAAGGCAAAGTCATGTTGGAAATACTGTACTTGAATTTTTACTATCCTAGGGATTATTGGTGCATTTCTGTGTAAATAAACGGACATTGAGGTTGACATCTGGTGCTTTTAACTGGGGATAAATGAAATGTCCTCTCACTGTAAGCAGAGCATACACCTACACCTCTAAAAGTAGAATGCAGTGACATTTTAGTGAACAGGGTGTTCTGAACACTTGTGCCTTGGGGTGTTTATTGAAGCTTTATGAAAACTATTGTTTCCTGATTATCCTTAAAGACATGTCCATGCTTTAAAGTCTGTGTAGGAGAGAAATGGGATTTATGTTTTTAAATTCTCTAAAATGAGCTACCTTTGTTGCCTTCCAGGATTTTAAACTCTTAAGCCTCTTAACTGCCTATGTATTATTGGAAATACTTTTAAAGTTTCACTTTGGATCACAACTCAGAAGAGCCTCATGTTTCTCAGATACCATTTAATCCCCCCAGATACTATTTAGAACTATAAAGTGTTGGGTAAAAATTTAAGGAACTTTTCTCACATCTTAAGTTGTAGGAAACTTTGTAGTTTTTTTTTTTTTTTTTTGAGGTGTTAACACAACTGTATATTCCTAAATTTGCATAATCATTATGCTGACATGTAAAACATTCTTTTGCACTAACGCATTTTATACCTCTCCATTAAAACCATAACAGCTGTAGTTGTTGTGTGTATCTGTGAAACAACCTTGTCAGAAAATGCAGTAGCACATTTTAAAAATATGTTAGCCTTTGGGTAAGAGCACAGCTGATAAACTGGAATATATAAAAATTGTTTTTGTATTTATCAAAATGTCCGTGATACTTTATGAATCAAATCAGTGAACAGTCATGTTGTTAAAAACTTTAATTTTCAGTCTTGCAAACTTCATATCCATACCTTTTAATTTTTAATCTGTCTGTTGCAAATATATTGAAACTATACACACAGACACACATCCTTATTATTAGTGTTAACATAGGGGACTTGAGCTAACATTTAATGCCGTTGTGATTCCCTCCTTCCTAGAAACATCCAAAAGGCCATAGTTTACTTTCTGCAGTCATAATAGCCACTATTCTAGTATACGTTGCATATTACATGTAACTTACTTGCAACGCAGTTTTATCATGTTAACTCATTTTCTAAAGAAAACAAACTAAGAAATTAAATAGCTTGGTCCTTTCTTTCCTAGGGCTTCCTTGAGAAACTTCTACCTCTTCATCTATTTTTCTGATTATCCCTAGTAACAATATGTGTTAATGCACACAAAATGAAGCATGACTTAGATGATGATTCTAGCACACCACTCACTCACAGAATGGTTATAACCCTGAGGTTTTACTGTCAACTCTTGGAGAAAAATCTTACCTTACCTTTTAATGCCACCAGTAGCCCTTCATTTCAACAAAGACATGAAAATACGTTGTTTGACACTAGCTGAGACAAAAAAATGCTTTCACTGTATATACAAGTAGATGCTTAAAAATGGAGACACAATGCTTATGTTGGAGATAAGACTCTGGTTATTTTCACCCTTTATTAGGAATACAGGGTAACATTATCATTTAAGATCATCATTACATCAACAAACTTGGTGATAACGGTATTGCAACAAATATGACCTGAATTCTGGGAGTAAGTGGTTTTCCAGTTCAAGGTGTAATATAAACAAAGTCTCCAAAGGATAAGAGAACCGTATTACTCCGTGAGCCTTCAAAGTAGTTTTGTTCCAATTCACTAGTGGCTAGAAGTGCCAGTCCTGATAACCATCAAAGATTTTCATCACAGCAAAACAGAATCTCCAACTTTTTACACAAATTGTAGTAGAAGAGAAAATAATTCCACGCTGACTTATAAATTGGTTTGGATGACTACTAAACTGTCTTCCATTCATAAGTTGGCAAAATCTTCAGAGTGACTGCTGGATCAAGGAGCCTTTCATGTGCTCCCAGTTATTATACAATGCATAGAGACTGGTAAGTGTTAGTCCTGCTAGACCACCTCGTGCTACCCCCCGAAGACCACCTGGGAGAGAAGAGAAGAAAAAGTGAAATAGCTGTATTGCATAGTATCCTAGCATGAAAAGGCTAAACAAGACTCATAAAACTGAGAGATACCATTCTTGTTTAGAAGTATTCCATCCCCAATATAAAAACTTTAATAAAGTTTTAGTAAAAGTCTAGGAGATAAGTTCCCCAAATCACTTTATATACTCCCTATTTTCTTATTCACAATCTTGGTTTATTTAAAATTTTCGTTGAAAATACACAGTTAGGCGGTGTCGAGTTGGACCTGACTCATAGCGACCCTTGGGTTTCCGAGGTGGTATCACTACAGAACTAGACTGCCCAGCCTTCCTTCTGAAAATACACAGAACATAACACCACTTCCGACATGGACAATTCAGTGAAACTGACCACTTTCTGCAAGTTGTGCATCCATTCTCATCCTTTTCCAAGTTGTTTTTCCCCATTAACAAACTTTATCTGAACTTTCCAGTTGCCTGTAGTCAATTTGATCCCATATAGATCTTTAAAAGAACACAATGCTCAAGGTAAACATTGTCTACTTGTGTGTTAGGTGCTATGGAATCAATTCTGACTCTTAGTGACCCAGTGGTAGTCTAGGACTGTCCCATAAGGTTTCCTAGGCTGCAACCACGAGCTTAGGTATAGAAAGGATTGTGAGGACGGCACACAACCAGGCAGTATTTCATTCTGTTCATAAGGTCAGTATGAGTTGGAGCCAACTTGGTGGCACCTAACAAAAACAAAACCTTTAGAAGAGCAGATAGCCAGGCTATTTCTCCCATGGAGCAGTTGAAGGATTAAAACTGCCAATCTTTTGTTAACAACTGTTTGGTTTGAGGAGCCCTGGTAGTGTGATGGTTAGATGCTCTGAAGATTGGTGGTTCGAATCCACCCAGAAGCTCTATGGGAAAAGATCTGATGATTTGTTTCTATAAAGATTACAGGCAAGAGAACTTCTTGGGCAGTTCTACTCTGTCATGTAGGGTCACTGTGAGTTGCTGTTTTGGTTCTCTAGTGCTGCTATAACAGAAATAACAAATGGATGGCTTTAACAAACGGATTTATTTTCATAGTTTAGAAGGCTAAAAGTCTGAGTTCCAAGTGCAAGCTCTAGAGGCTGGGTGAAGCCCCCTCAACCTTGCACTTTAGCTCTGCTTCTTGCTCCTATTCCACTGGAGCTGGAGGCGTCTCAATGTAGGCAGCTGCTGACTGCTAAGGCTGACAAACCCATGGCTGACAAGGAGAAGGGCACAATTCCAAGATTGGCAAACAACATGGCAGGCTGCTGAATGAAGACTTGGCTGAATGCAGGGTCCAAGCATGTCAAAAACCTCAAGAGACCTTTCTCAAAGCTGCTTACGTACTGGAAGCAGACCACATCCCCAAGACAACTATTCTGTTGCTCACAGCAGATTCCACCATGGAACTGATTACCAGTCTCATCATGGGCAGTCACTATATACAGCAGCCCAGCCACCCAAAACCAGGTGCCACAAAGTTGACAAATAACCCTTAACTACACCATCACAATCCTACTTGACAGCACCCAACAATATTTTTTTGAAGACGTTGGGATATTTTTGGTTTACGGTTTAAAGATGATCAGAGTTTCAGGATTCATCCAGCCTCAATGGCTCTGGAAAGTCTCGATTCTATGAGAATTTGAAAATTTCCCCCCATTTTATAAGGATTCTTCTATAGAATGTTCACTAATGGTAGCGAGCCATCATCTAGTTCTCTGGTCTCATGGCAAAGGAAGGAGTTATTCATGGAAGCAATTAACCACACATTCCACTTCCTCCTATTCCTGTCTCCTTTCCCTGTACCACCTTTTTTTTTTCCTCCAAATTTAATTTCAGAAAAAAGCTTTCAATTTGTACCTAAGATCATCAGCATTAGTGATTTGACTTGTTCTTTCAGCAGTTTTACAAGATCATATGCTTATTATCATTAGAATCCCAACCAGATAATCATTCCTAGAAGTCATACAGTTTAGAACATCAATGACACTTTGAATATATCTAAGGCTGTAATGCTAAGGCACTTGACTGCTAACCAGAAGGCTAGCGGTTCAAATCCACCAGCCACTCCTCGGAAGGAAGATGGGGCAATCTACTTCCGTAGTGATACTGCCTTGGAAACCCAAGGAGGGGTCGCTATGAGTCGGGTCCGACTCGACGGCACATAACAACAACAACAACAAATGCAAACAAGGTGACAGCCCATTTATAACCAATGTATAACTATTAATAACCAATGAACCCTGGCTAGACCTGTTAAATATTAACTCTGAAGATTCAAGAAGCAGTGGTGGCATGAAGACTGTCATCAAGCTGAGTTAGATGCTGAAGAAGCACTGATCTCCCCCAAGTTAAACATCTTCTACAACTAATGAGCTACCATCATACTAATTGGGAAAAAAAAAAATTCAAGGACTAAATTTGGAACTACTTCCGATTGATAATAAAAATCTTTCAGGTGCAAGAAGAGATTAGCTATAGGCATTTTATTTGAACTGAATGGGGCATGGGGGGGGGGGAGGCCATTTCAACCAGTTACTTGAAAACACTCCCAAGTCTAATTAAAAAGGAAGATGCAATTTAATTTCTCTAAAGTGAAACTGCCCAAACTCCTTGTGATTACAGAATGTCAGTCTTGTAAAGTACATGGCAAAGGGAAGCCTAGGTTAAGAAACCCTGTAGGAACAAGAGTGCCAAAAGCAGCTTTTTAAAAAATACTTAATGTTCTCTACCACCTCCATAAACAAATAGTGATCATAAACTCCAAGTAGCCTTTATAACTCTTAGGGAGTGTTTGTTCTAAGTCATGTGTTAAACAGACAAAGATGAAGTGGTTGTGGTTACAACTAGGGACACTTAAGCTCTGTGTCAGTCAATTCCATGAAATTCAGTGAAGTTGGTGAGTTACAAACTTTTCTGCATTTAATGTCCCTCCAGATGGCTTCAGCCCAGAGATTAAAGGGCCACTCCCTCTAGGAATCGTACTAGTCTGAAGACTTCTGATAGCTAACCTGCTTCAGTTCTTTGGCTTTTGCTGTCAAGTCCCATAATTATCTCTGTTAAACAGACCCAGAAAAACTGCAGACGTCATCTATAAACAGCCATCAAACATGTGTTATGGGAATCAGAAACATTAAAATTACTGATGAAACTAAATGGGCTCTGAAATCCACAGCACTGCTATCATCTTGGCATATTTAGACTATAGGCATGACACTTGAATTTGGTTCAAACTGGAAAATAACATACATTCAACCTGCTAACTTAAAACAATCTGCTCAGTTTAGTAAGAATCAACCTTCTGTCTTTGACAAGCAAGTCAATAAAGAGCTCTAAGGAGCTGAAAGCCCAAATTCCAAAAATGGAAAAAATAAACTATAAGAGGCACAGGAGAATAAACACCACTGAAGTATCTAAAATGGCATCAACATGGCTCAGTTATCAGATTTAAACTTTAATGAGGGTTCTTCCAAACAAGTAACCAAATTGTAATACTCTTAACTCCATTTTGAATAAATGCAAAACAAAGCAGAAAATTAGGGTACCCTCACTGCTGTTTGTTAGTAGAAAAGTAATAGAGGGCCGATAATTGAAAGCTCAATGATTTTGCTGGCACGATTTCCTGGGAAGGAGCCCTGGTGGTGGAGTGATTAAAGCACTCTGAGGCCAACTGAAACCCACAGCTGCTCCACAGGAGAAAGATATGGCAGACTACTTCTGTAAAGATTTACAGCCTTGGAAACTCTATGGGGCAGTTCTACTCTGCCTGACAGAGACACTGAGTCAGAATCAAGTCAAGGACAATGAGTTTTATTTGGTTTTTTAAAAAATTTCCTGAGACTGAACGGTCAACCTCAGACTAACTCCCATGGCCATGGATCTCTATCTAGCCCATTACAGGTCTACAGGACGCTGAAGTTTTTGCCCATTGGTTTGGAAAGAGCTGCAAACCCTTTCTTCCAATTAAAAGAATTTTCATATCAGTTCTCAGCTATCAAATAAAGTAACAAATCTCCTTGGGAATACTCTCTGGTATAGGCACTAAAAAAAAACAAACAAAAAACAAACCACCAAACTCACTGCCACTGAGTGATTCTGACTCACAGCGACCCTACTGGATTTCCAAGGCTGTAAATGTTTATGGAAGTAGATTGGCCCATCTTCCTTCTGTGGAGTGGCTGGTGGGTCTGAACCCTGACCTTCTAAATTAGCAGCCAAATGCCTTACCCACTATGCTACCAGAGCTACTATGTATAGAAATTAGGGGGAACATACTAAAAATGCAAACAGTAAGACTAAGATCTTTGGGACACCAGCAGCATGTGAAGTATCCCTTAAAGACAATTTATTTCCCTGAAAATTTTCTACATTTTGACCAGAATGAAGCATGCTTAGTTCTAATCACTGAAGTTATTTCTTTAAAATCTTAAAAAAAGTTATTTTCACCAAGATGAGACATGTACAGCGTGTGATTTACTTGCCACACAGCTAACCCTGATTGAAAGGTAGATTTTTATCACTTATCAGTGATCATTTTAACTCTTTCCACTAATTCCATGGTTTCCCAACTGGTTGATTTGTTAAAAATTTAAGAGCCTCTGCTTTAGGCAGTCTGTAATCAAACACCTTCTGTCCAACTAAGCACAGGAAATAGATAAGCAAATAAACTCACTTTGGACAAAGAGTGAACAAATAAGGGCAAAGGTCAATATCTATAAACCAAAACAAACATGAGACTTGTGTCTCAGTTTCACCTTATATTTTTTGGGTTCTTACACAAGCCTTCCACTGTGATAGGGCAAGTATTATCTTTTCCAAAGAGGGAGAAAACAAGGCCTAGAAATTAAAATTATGTACCTTATTTGTGGGTTACAGAGTTCAACTGAAAATAGAACAGGGTTCGGCAAATCTTTTTTTCCAAAAGGTCAGAAGTATTTTAGGTTTTGAGGGCCAAAGGCTAGTATGTAGGTACTTA